ACTTTTAATAAAAAAATTACTATTAAATTATTCATATCAATATTAATTAATTAATTTTATTGAGCAAAGCAAATTAAATTAAATTTGGGAGCTAGGGACTATCTGCAAGTGGAAGCAGCAGAATTAATTCCAACCACAAAAGTCCCTTGCTACTAATTGTTAAGTACTCACCATCACAGATCTCAAGTAGAGTAGTTTTCTGCCAGTCTATCATTTCCAATTTTTCCATCCAAGCAAGCGGCGCAGCCACTAGTAACAAGATTGGCGTCAAAAACTACTTCTCTGACCTTTATTGATAATACTAGAATAGACCCTTGATGTTTACTAATGAAGACTATTCTTTCTTAAAAGAAATAAATAAATAAATAATATTAGAATAGAATGGATCATTTTTCCCAAAAAAAAAAAAAGAAAATTGAACATGCTATATCCGAAAGGGCCAAAATTTTTTAGTTCAATATATATTATATTACCGATCACAAGGGTTGGGCCAATATCAATTTTGATATTAACAAAAATGATATTTGACTAACCAAAAGTTTTTTTGTTAGAATTTTGAAGATCAAAACCAAAATCGAAATATATATGATTTTATAGTTTGGTTATCCAAATTTTTAGTTATTATAAATTTAATTTTAATTTTAATCAATAATTATCAAATAGAAAAAATAAGATTAAAAAAGTGAATAAATGCAAGTAAAACATGAATTTTGAATTTTATTTTTTAACTTTTAAATAAAATTTAAATTCAGATATTAAATTATACCAAAATTTATAGAGTGATTCTTAAAAATGAGATTGAATAGGATGATTTTTATAGGAAAATAATTTAGAGATAATATTTTTGTATTACTTTTTAGTACAACCTTATATATCATTTAAATATTTAACTCTTTTTATTCATTCGAGATTTCTAATATTGAATATATCAAATCATTTAATGACACGTGAAAATTATATAAAAGATTATATAATAAAATTTTCTCTATATCATTGCCTATTTTTATATTTATTTAAAATATTCAAATAATTATTATTTATTTATTAATACAAAAATCTACTTTTTGGTTATATTTTCAGTTTTTAATTTTTAAACCCTTAACCAATAATCAACCAAATTTTTTTTTCTAAATATATCTTAATATTTAGTTATTTTTTAATTAATTTTTAGTTTACCATTTGGTTAACCAAGCATTTGCCCACCGCAATTACTGATGATGAAGAACATACATGATTGGCTACATATGTGTGATACTAGAAATTATATGAAGACATGAAAATTCGTATTGAGACCACAACAAAGTTTGACAGAGTTTCAGATAACTTGCGTCAACAACACAAAGGATTCCGTGAGTGGGACTTGGTTTCAAGCAGACGAGACCACCAGACCATTCTTCAAGTAAGAAATCTTTACTTTTATTTGATGCATCCTCCAAAGAAAAAGAACAGATCCTGACAAATTTTTAATCTATGTCTTAGCTAATACAATCCCTATTTTACTGTTTCAACTACACAATTTAAATCATTAAGTAGTGATCTCCTGATATATATAAGTAACAAAAATTACA